ATTCCTGTTCATAAAAAGAAAACATTCATATATTTAGTAATTAATATGTCAACCCGTTCAAGAAATATAAATCGGCATACTAATAGATGTTTCTCAATATGGAGTCATTGTTAGGCATAACATAAAATGTAAACGAATGAGTTCAATGGATCCAGTGACTCCGCTCGATGGTCTCGGCATTTTTATTTTATGAAAATGATGATATGTACATATAATGTAACCAAAAGAGATCTATATTTACTAATTAAGAGTTCCACCGCACATAACCTCAAACTTTACAATCGCCCGCTTGCGTACGTAACGTACGTACGTCACGGACGACGCCCATTTAAAACACGTACATGACAACGTACTGCATCATAGGCGCCGTTGAAATAAAAATACGTACGTCATAGACGACGCTGATTTTAAAATACAAGCACCTTTTAAATCTGTGGTCGACACAGTGGGCGGGCGACTTTTCTTTTTTTTTGAGAGTACTAAGGCCACGGCAACAGGAATATCGAGGTTGCCGACCAAATAGACTGAGAAGGTAGAACAAGGAGAGGGGAGCCTATTGGATCAAAAAAAGAAAGTATATTAAGGTTCAAGTTTATTCCATTATCCGCCCGTCCCTGTCACCTCGACACCGCGCCCCACAACGCGCCATCTGGTGGGGGAGAGGGGTCGCACACACATTACCGCCGCGTTAGATACCCCCCCTCACTCCCCCTCCCAGCCAGAGGGCGCGTTGCGGTGACGCGAAGTCGAGGTGACAGGGAGGAAGCGATGATGTTACCCAGCCGTCGAGTTTCGAAGTGCAAAACACGGCGTGATTTTGTTATTCGACCGCATGTCCCAATGCTTTGTTTAAACGAGCCCAAGGAAACGGATTACTCATCGCGTTGATAATTTAATTTTTAACGCCGCTGCCGCACACCGACGACGCGGCGATCTCACCCGCTGTCACATTTGCGGTGGGCGATGATGTCACCCAGCCAGTTCAACGCGCCTCGTCGACTGAGTCATCGCGTGTCCCAACGCTTTGTTTAAAACGAGACGAAGGCGTGACTCATCGCGCTGCAATTTATATTCTTTCACATTTTACTGCTGACGCTAACAAAGGACGGACGATGCGCTCTCCCCAGACCAATGCTTCGTTGCCGGGCTACTCGTCCGCGGAGAATTTTTTTTTAATTCGGCACCGCCGGCTAACAAAGGACGGACGACGAGCTCCTCCTCCTCCACCACCGCTCAGTACGATCCAGACCACGGACGACGACGGACGGTGAGCCATTTTTAGGTTAGATCGGCGGGGCGGCCCGTGGTGGCAGGGGGCCGCCAACCACCTCCTCTCGCAGGCGAGATGGGGAGGCGATTCGCCTCCTCCCATAAACAAAGGAGTTGGAGACGACATAACCTCACTTTTGGAATCTCGCGGGAAACCCACGCAGGCGAATTGCCTCCCCATCTCGCCTGCGAGAGGAGGTGGTTGGCGGCCCCCTGCCACCACGGGCCGCCCCGCCGATCTAACCTAAAAATGGCTCACCGTCCGTCGTCGTCCGTGGTCTGGATCGTACTGAGCGGTGGTGGAGGAGGAGGAGCTCGTCGTCCGTCCTTTGTTAGCCGGCGGTGCCGAATTAAAAAAAAATTCTCCGCGGACGAGTAGCCCGGCAACGAAGCATTGGTCTGGGGAGAGCGCATCGTCCGTCCTTTGTTAGCGTCAGCAGTAAAATGTGAAAGAATATAAATTGCAGCGCGATGAGTCACGCCTTCGTCTCGTTTTAAACAAAGCGTTGGGAACGCGATGACTCAGTCGACGAGGCGCGTTGAACTGGCTGGGTGACATCATCGCCCACCGCAAATGTGACAGCGGGTGAGATCGCCGCGTCGTCGGGTGTGCGGCAGCGGCGTTAAAAATTAAATTATCAACGCGATGAGTAATCCGTTTCCTTGGGCTCGTTTAAACAAAGCATTGGGACATGCGGTCGAATAACAAAATCACGCCGTGTTTTGCACTTCGAAACTCGACGGCTGGGTAACATCATCGCTTCCTCCCTGTCACCTCGACTTCGCGTCACCGCAACGCGCCCTCTGGCTGGGAGGGGGAGTGAGGGGGGGTATCTAACGCGGCGGTAATGTGTGTGCGACCCCTCTCCCCCACCAGATGGCGCGTTGTGGGGCGCGGTGTCGAGGTGACAGGGACGGGCGGATAATGGAATAAACTTGAACCTTAATATACTTTCTTTTTTTGATCCAATAGGCTCCCCTCTCCTTGTTCTACCTTCTCAGTCTATTTGGTCGGCAACCTCGATATTCCTGTTGCCGTGGCCTTAGTACTCTCAAAAAAAAAGAAAAGTCGCCCGCCCACTGTGTCGACCACAGATTTAAAAGGTGCTTGTATTTTAAAATCAGCGTCGTCTATGACGTACGTATTTTTATTTCAACGGCGCCTATGATGCAGTACGTTGTCATGTACGTGTTTTAAATGGGCGTCGTCCGTGACGTACGTACGTTACGTACGCAAGCGGGCGATTGTAAAGTTTGAGGTTATGTGCGGTGGAACTCTTAATTAGTAAATATAGATCTCTTTTGGTTACATTATATGTACATATCATCATTTTCATAAAATAAAAATGCCGAGACCATCGAGCGGAGTCACTGGATCCATTGAACTCATTCGTTTACATTTTATGTTATGCCTAACAATGACTCCATATTGAGAAACATCTATTAGTATGCCGATTTATATTTCTTGAACGGGTTGACATATTAATTACTAAATATATGAATGTTTTCTTTTTATGAACAGGAATTGTTTGTAAGTTATTTGCTAATTTACAGTTGGGTGCGTGGCTCTTGCAATCTACAAGATGTGGTCAACGAAAAGTCCCGTCAACAAAAATTGAATATAAACTGCCACGCAAATCAGCTTTCGATATATTTTTCGTATTTTTGTTGGTTCAGTAGTCTTGACGAATTGATGCGAATTATATTTTTAACTGCTTATATTCAAATGAAATCCATTTTATTTTTCGGAAAACAGGCGTGTTTACTCGTACGTCAGACGGCGGTCACTATGGTTTCTGTGGGTAAGAATTTTTTCGACTAAGTAGCTGCCCATTCCATACAAGCCCACATTCATTCCGCTCTTAATTTGTTAACTAAGAAACCGACTATTTTTGGAAATGAATAACCGAAATATTTCAAAAAACTGTAAACATTTTCGTTCTTATCCTGTAATATCATATTCATGTTTGTTTTTTCTTTTGCTGTTCTTGGATCCAATTCTCATTGCCGCCATGTCGATATCATCTAGAATGCAAGTCGCACCTCAATCTCGTTACGGCCAACGCGATGTGTTAAGGCGTGCACGTGCGTCCCCACCATGAAGAAATTTTCCGTGCGCGGACAGGCATGGATGCGTTATCAGAGTCTTCGTATTGCCACTGTTGTTATTGGACGTGTGTATCAAGTCGCAAGTAATTTCAATCTCCGTTTTTCTACTGTAAGTCTGGTGTTATTATAGCAAGTGGTAAGTACCTACAGTTTCATTATGGTTTCATACTTTCACAACGATTAAATAAAAAATAACCCAGGTATGAATACTGAGAATATTAAATATTTTCAAAATATCGAGGACTTTCTTATGCGTAGAATTATCCGATATGCGATTTCACATTAAATAAAGCATCACCATTCTGACCCAGTCACTAAATTTAGAATACAACATTTCGTTGGAATTATGAACGTTAAATTATATTCTACAAATTTTAATTTGACCTTTTGATCTTAAGTTTTGACTTATTTTGGGTATTAAGGATTCTGATGTAAAAAAACAAGATTCATTTACCATTTTTGAGTTTAGCAATAATGATCTATAAAAATTATTGTGGTTTCTTTATAGGATGCTGCTATATTAACGTTTGATGTCAACGAAACTTTTACTTTTGTTTAGTTTGTCAAAATTAAATTTTGTGATACTTTAAATAAACGATTTGGCGTAAATAAATTTTATGCAAGTGTCGTTGGGCCGATTTATTTTAAAGAATCCGTGTTACTACTCAACAGTTCACAAAAAATCTTCTATCAAAGGCCCGGACCACACAATAGCGTTCAGTGCTACGTCCGTCCAAAGTTTACCTTACAGGACACTCAAATTGGGATTTTCAGTTGTGCTCTAGCTTTTAGAGTTGTAGTACGTGTGTGGCACAGTGAAAAAAATGTCTGTGGTCGAAGCGCTTATTGGAGCCATTAGAGCTTTGTTGGCTCTTTTACTGGCTTCTCCTAAAAATGATGATGTCGCTCAGGGTATGAAAGAATGTACTCAAGCGATAAGAAGAATCCAAAAGGAAATGCGGACTACGAAAACGGTGGGAGAAAAACAACGTCTGGTAGCTCAAATGGTTCAAGTTAAATCGTTTCGGAGTCAATTTAAAGGAATGCTGAAGAGAGGTTCCGGAAGTAAACCCGTAACTGCGAGAGATCGCGTTCACTGGGATGATGTTAATTCAACATTTGAATCGCGCATCAGGACTGGCGTCATAACTAACCTTCAACATAAGGACGTGCAGAGTTTCCTCCAAGACTGTTTCGCACTATTTCGACGACGTGTCAACAACGCGCTGAAAACGGACCAGTCCGTTAAGATAAACGCTGTCTTCGGGGGAGAATTTCAAATTCAAAAGGCTGATCAAATCCAGACGGAAATTAAATATTTTACAACTTCGAACGCAGCAATCTATAAAGATACTAATTTACAACGATGGTTTGACAGAAATGTTGTATTACCAATTAAAACCCAATTAGAGGAGTTCCAAGAACGAGATTCCGGATGGGCGTTGAAG